TAGATGCTCTTGCCCAGACTAGCTTAACCCTCCTCCTTCTCCCCCCTGGAGCCCCTTCAACTAATCACTTTTACGGGTACCGTTCCAGACAGCTGCTGAATTGGTGATTGAGTGATCTTCAAATTCAATCACAATCTCAATCCTGCACAATACAGTAATACAGTACATCATGTATGTTGTCTTTAGACCGTACTAGCTAGTACCTCACAGTAGCGGTAGCAATAGCGGTACCAGGTAGCCTGGTACTATTATTAATAGTACAGTATTGCAGAAGACTGACGTTTCCCATGTTTGGATGGCAATCGCACTTATAAGCATTGTTGAAGAATGACTTAGTGCAATCTTCTCCTCATCAATCGTTTGCTAACTCCTGCAATTCCTGCACAGATCACTTAGTTGCTGATCCATGACCAGCAATTTCCGTCCGATAAATCTTGGTCATCAGACCCTTTCTGCGCTTCATGCGTGCCTTCTCGACAACACGTGGAGAGAATTAAAGGTCACATTGAGCAAAATATCAATAGGATTAAACATCAAAGCAAATGCCAGCACTGCAGTATTTAACAAGAGCTATAGTTTGAGGTGATAGTTGTCCAAAACAGACAACTTCTGAACTGTGATTGAGCTGTTGTTGCATAGATTAACATGGTTTTCCTGCCTTGCTATCTTTCGCTCCTGGACATTTTGGTGACTGTATGCAGTTTTACAGCAACACCGGTTGTCTTTCGCTGAAGAAAGGGCAAGCAGGGCTTAAGCCAAATTGCATTCGGTGACCAAACAAGTGGAGAGAGGGAGAGAGCGTAAGAGCAGCTTGTGGGGTTTGTACCGGTACAGTTGTACCGCTTTAGGCTTAGCAGTAGCTACACTCCCTTCGATACAACCTTTCATCCCATCTTGTCTTTACCGGTATCAGTGTTTCCTTTTCCGTTCGGCAAGTGTTGGGCATCTCAAAGCTGAGGTTCTCACTTTCTCTTCGTCATTGAACAAACATCTCAAGCTGCTATAACCTTCGAATTACCGCATTGAACGAGGGATAGAAGGCTCTGTCTCACATCATCTATCTGAAACCACGAACAAACTTAATCCACACAGACTCGCCTCATTGCAAGAATTTGGAGAAGCGCTTGGCAAGCTCATCACTTACTTTATAGTCGTCAGTGCCATTATTAGCTAGCTACACCTGGTACTTCTACCTGTGCCCTTATCATCATCATCTGTCCCTTTTACCTTACCGATTTGGTAGACAGCTTTACACACACCCACAACACACACCCATGAGTGCCTCTGTGGATCGATACTACCACCCTGAGAAACCTCTGCAGCACCAAGCCAACTTTGGCATGATGGAAAAGCAAGATGATGAACAAAGTTTGTCCGAATCCCATCTCTCGGAAGACGGCGATGTGGATATCCGCCGTAAGGAAGGTCAACAACAACAAGAAGACGATCTGGTCAGTAAGTCGTCCATGTCGAGCATGTCGGTCTTCATGAACAGTTTGGTGGGCGTTCATCAGTCCGAGGATTGGTCCTTTTGTCTTCAGGTCGATAATGCCAAACCCAGGGATCTACCGTCCCCATCGGCAACCGCTCCTGCCGTCGATAGTGGTGCTTCGGCCGTGAGCATTACCCGCAAGAACAATGGACTCTCACGATGGGAAAGTACTCCCAGCAAGAACACTCCCGTGGCTCCATCTACCCGTGTGCGCGCCATGAGACCTTGGAGACCACCGCCCACCATGTCGTCCGCGTCGTCCTCTTTGAACAGCAACAATAGCAGTTTCGTCATCATCAACAACAACAACAACAACAATAGCACTCTCAACAACAATAGCACTCACAACAACAACAATAGCAGCAACATCAACGGCAGTACCCGCAAATTGGATGCCCCCATGCCCAGACCTCAACGGTATGATTCCAATCGCAGCCTCAACACGAATGCCAAGCGTCCCCAGCGCTATGATTCCAATCGAAGTCTCAATCAACGATTTGACTCCAATCGAAGTCTTGGACAGAGGTTTGACTCGAACCGAAGCTTGGGACAGAGGTTTGACTCCAATCGAAGTCTGGGACAACGATACGATTCTAACCGAAGTCTGGGACAACGATACGACTCTAATCGGAGTCTGAACCGAGAATTCTCCATTAGTGACTTGTCCAAGCAACCATCTGTTCGATCCTTATCGTCGCCCAACCAACCGTCCCATGTACCCTTTCATCACGACAAGAGTATGGACCTCAGGGTCTTACTCGAATACGAAGAAGACAACTTTGACGATTCTGTCATTATCGAGGGTAACGAAGGACAAGGAGTATACCTCAAGATACCCACCATGCAGTCCAGTCTCTGGAGCAGTGCCAGTACCATGACGGCCAGCTTTCGAACCATGGCATCCAACCGGAGTCTCTTGAGCCACTATTCCATCTCGTCCGTCGCCAACCACAGCCACAACAACAATAACAGCGTCATGCACAACTACAGTACCAGCTCCAGTTGGAATTCGTCCCATCGCAGTCTCTTTTGCAAGTCACAAGAAGAACTCCCCATGCGACCCCCCAGTCGCACCAAGTCGCGGGAACAACACTTTCAATCCAATGCCTGTGAACGTGCCGTCCGACGACCGGTGCGGATTCCGTCCGATCGCAGCATGCTCAGTACAAGTGTTCACCAATCGCCACCACCCGATACAACCACCGCCACTCCACCACCTGCCGCGGCGGCTGCCGCCGTGGTATTGGCCAATACCACCAGTGCTTGTGACAGTCTCTTGCCGGCATTGAACTACAATCAAGAAGGAGAAGATTCCACCAGTCACTTGGAGTTTCGATTGATCCGATCCTTATCGGAGCAGACACTGGAAACGGCCGTCTTGTGGCAACAGCAGCAGCTACAACAACCACAGACATTGGATGCGGCCGATAATGCCGTGGGGTACCGGTACCTCAAGCGAACACTGTCCGACTCGTTGTTGTTTTCCTCGCAAGACTTCAACTCGAGTAGTATGCTCTCCGAGTCCATCAACAGTAGCAGTGCTCACTTGTCGTCGTTTGTTCTGCAACAACAACAACAACTACCATCACCCAAGAATGATTGATTGATTGATCCATCAGCGTAATATGGGATACAATGGTGAATTACTGATCAATTAATTCATTGTGCAAGAACAAGGTGCCGGGTCGTTCTTGCTGTAGTTTTAACGCATTCGCTGCCACCTGCAGACGGGGCCTCTGAACCAAACAACCTGACGGTTGCATGCTCCAGTCTCAACGAAAGAACGCAGGACAGCAAAGAAGGATGCAGCTGTGCAAACAAGCAAAATAATGTAGAAATAAAAGAATAAGAATACCGTACGTTTAGGGCCATGATGTTGCTTTATGTATAATGGAATCTTAGTATCGTGTCGCTCGAAGCCTCGCGTTGCTAGGGTCTTGTTCATCTTGGCTATTAATACTAGCCAAACATTTAGCCATGGCAAGGCTCGAAGGGAGACGGAGGAACGTAACAGGCGGACGGCACAGCTCTCACCCATTTAGGTATCTTGCATATCTCGAGACACCGAGCCAGCTAAAGAATACCCCAAAACAATTAAATGGACCCAAGCTAGGTTTTCGTCCCTCTAAGAGATGTTGCTTTGAGAGCAGCAAGGCGTGCCTCGTGAGCCAGATTGGCGAGCGGTGGCAATCAAAAACCACGGAGTACTAGCTTCTCACAATTATTGATACAATGATGTCCCTCGACAAAAACATGGAGTAGATGCTTTCATCAGTGAAGCAACACGAGAGTGCGACACTTCTACAGTGGTACCGTACTACAGCTCGCATTGCCCATTGCATACACCCATGATTCATTGGAAACGCGGAGGTTTGGTTGTCAATACCTGATCCCTAATGAATATCTTGCCGTATCTTTTTGAAGTACGTACCCTCCTGTCACCTCTTGCTCTCTTCCCGCTCGGAGCTTGCACATCAACTGCTTGATCGATTGATCGATGTCGACCCAGGCAACCAACCAACCACCTTCATAGCCTCACAAGACCCCAACCATCACATTTATCGCCATCACATTGCGAAGAGACGAGAAAAAGAGCCCACTGCTGCAAGTCTTCGTTAAAGCAAGGAAAGGATTTCAAGATGTTCAAGTTTATCGCTTTCGTTGCCGCCGCTCTGATGTTGGCGAATCGGGTGTCATCATTTTCCATGTCGATGAAGACTTCTCCGCCTTCTGTGGACCGTCGTGCCTTTGGCCAAATAGCTGGAGCCACCGTTGTCGCAACGATTGCATCCAATCCAATTCCTGCTGTGGCCGACGATGAAGATCCCTTCAAGGACTTTGTGACGACGGAATCTGGCCTCAAGTACAAGGTGACCAAAGAAGGCAACGGCAGTGTGCCTCCAGCGGGCGCAACCGTGCAGGCCCACTATACTGGATGGCTGGATGAATTTAATTCCATCAAAAAGTTTGATTCCTCTCGAGATCGGGGTCGTCCCTTTAGCTTTCGTGTCGGAGCAGGACAAGTCATTCGAGGATGGGATGAAGGTGAGTGCTCAACAAACACTAGCTAGTGTAATCTTTGACTGCATTTATTCACTTGTTGGCAACCGATCACTGAATCGCTTCTTTTGGTCGTCACTGTTTTCTCATCGAATTTCTCTGTAAACTCTCCAGCATTTTCTACCATGTCAGTAGGCGAGAGACGTCAACTGGTGATCCCCTCAAGACTTGGGTATGGCGACCGAGGTGCTGGAGGCATCATTCCCGGAGGGGCTACTCTGTACTTCGACGTCGAGCTGTTGGCAATCAAATAAAGGATTGAAACATAGATAGGCCGAAAGGTTGTGTTTGTCAGAAGATGCTGCTGTACTAGCTAGTAGTAGACTGTTTCTTCTTCTGGGCATTGCTGCATATGAACAACACGTCTAGACTAGACTAGTCTATCCTGGATGCACGTTTCTGTTTCGTTGCCGACACTCGAGAGAAGAATGAGTGATTCAAGGTCAGGTTTTATCCCTTGTAAGCAGAAAACTAAGTTCTGAAAGAGCAAACATGTCAACCTCCGTTCGGTGGCATTTCAAACCAGCGCTATAGCTAGCAGCAGTCCATCAGGCTGCAGTTAGCATGAATCTGCAATAGGCCCATTTGTACTCTCTCACACAGCTTGGCAGGTACTGGCCCAGATACATTTGTACCTGAAAGATCCAGCAAGGCTAGATTCATCAGGTTACCAAATTCCGTTGGAATCTGACCTGCCACACCTGCGTTACTTGGCCCAGCGAGTAAATTCTAGGATCTATTGGGTAGGGTGGAGTTCACAGAGCAGCAGACCACAAGGCTGCAGTTGGCCCGAATCTCCAGCAAGCCAGTTTCAACTCGTTCACAGAGCTTGGTAGGAACTGGTCCAGAAATGTTTGTATAGGACACATCCAATAGAGCCAGGTTGGTCAACTCACCAAGCTCTGTGGGTATCGAACCAAACAAACCAGCATTGCCACGGACATCAACTGTTTCCAAAGCTGGGAGAAATCCCAGTGCTGTTGGGATGGTTCCAGTGTACAAATTCTCTGTACTTCCAAAGTAGCGGAGGCTGGGGCTTCGAATTGTTTCAAGAATTTTGCTGCCAAAGCGACCAAAGAGGTTTCCTGAAACATCCAGGATTTCCAAGTTGTTTAGAAACAAGAAAAGCGGATCGTTGTATCCAAGAAGGAAGTTGTCATCCAACTTGACCACCCGAATCCCCAAAGGTCTGAAGCCACCACTAGATAGTAGCTGTCCTTCAAAGTGGTTGTTGGATACAATGAACACCTCCAGGACTTCGTTAGCTGCAGCAGCTCCTGTTGGCACAGCACCGTGCAATTGGTTGTTCCCAATATCAAATGTCAACATATTTTCCAGGAATCTATTCACTACTGGAAGGGTTCCCTGTAGATTGTTGGAGTTTAGGTTGAGAATGCGGAGAGTGTTGTTCTGGTCACAAACAGGATAATTGTCATAGTGCATGATGCTCTCATTTTGAGCCTGTGTGAACCAGTCACATTCATTCCTATCATAGCTGAGCCAGTGATCATTTCGGAACCATCCAGGACCATCGGTGAGATAGAAAAAGAATACCAAGTCAAACCTTTGAAGTTGCCTTTCATGAGAGTAGCTGGCAAAATTAGGGTCATTCCACATCCAGGCATTGGCAAGATACTCGTGGGTGGATGTGTTGAGGATTGCCTTGAGAGTGGTTGTGGGCAAATCATCCTGAAAGGGTGGATAGATGATGAGAGAGTTATTGGCAGCGTTGTGCACAGTCTGACTCTTATTCCTACCACCACTCGATGAGTTGGAACTCGAAGGAAGGTACAAGGCAAGAAAAACCACCATACCAGTCACAACCAGGAATGCCACACCTAACCAGGGATAAACATTTCTTCTTTGCCCATCACTGCTGTGCATGATTGTTCCTTCAATCACTTCTTGTTTGTTGCCAATATGGTTTGTCCCTTCTTCCATCAAGACTGTTTGATCTGCAAGACACATAGCATTGCTAACAAGAACAGCTCCGTCGATGACTGCTTCATTGTTGTTATCGTCACTGTGGTTGTTCCTTGCACCACTTGTTTCTTCTCCCTCACCGACTCCTCCCACTGCAAAGGCTCCAACTTGTGAGAGTCGACGTTGCTGCCCTTGAGCGTAGCCTCCTGAGTCATCTTCTGGCTGTTGCCGTTCGTTGGCCACCAATACCCGTTGAAACTCGTTTTTGGCTCCTTCTTTTCTTCCTTCTCCAACCAAACTTTTTTCAACAGTTCCATGAAAACTTGAATCATCTTCAACATCCTCACCTAGAACATGGCGTACTATCCTTTCCCTCTGATCGGAGTAGTACTCGAGTCTTGACTCGTTGCCATGGTGGTCAGATGTCTCATCATTGGTGTCCTTTACTTCGTGGTTCTGGTTCTTTGCTTCACCACGAATTGCCACTGTCAGACGATGGCTCTCGTTCCGCGGGGGCTGATCGACATGGTGCTCCTCCTCATTATGCATACCGGTAGCTCTCGTCAGAGGAGGCTGATCGAAATGGTGCTCCTCCTCCTTAGCACCTTCAGTGTTGCTTTCCTTTGCCTTATCTTCCACAGCGCTTTGCTTTGCCTCCATCGTGGTTGTAAGTTGTAAGTGCTCGACTCCTATGGCCAATACACACCGCCGAAGCACAAAGAAAGAAGCAAGCTTTCAACCTTTCAACAACAAAGAAAGACTAAGTCCACTTTTACACTACTTTTGCACCCTTGTAAATGTTGCTGACACTTTGCGTGAGCTATCCCGGATCACCATTGATAAGGCACGCGCACGATCGGGGCACGGAAGGTCCTTTCCAAGGTGCTTTGTTTCGCCAAATCGCCAAAAATTTGTGTACCTGGTGGTGTTGCATAAACGTCGCGTGCTAGATAATAGAAAGTCGCACAAGTGTACTAGTAGAATCAGTAAAGCTAGACCTAAAGGAAAATTAAATAAGATGAATTTGGTTCCAAAAGTCGAATTTTTGATTTAGAAGGACGCAGCAAAGTCACCTCTATTGGTAGAGCTCTGGCGTGCAACTTTGGGAGGAATCAAAGCATAAACGTGGTCAACCCAACTTCATTGCGGGACTTTTAGCAGTCGTACCGTACCAAATCGTACCAATCACATCGGTTCAAAAGGACGGATATGGACAATAAGCGCCGGGCATGCCTCGAAAAAGACTTAACGCAATCTCTGGATACTGCCAGCTTATAATAATAATAATAATATGCGAGCTCTGTTGCATCGTTCCGAGGACTGTATGTCTGGTGGTAACTGTTTAGTATTAGAATCGCGACAATCATTGATTTCTCAAATGACTAGGTGCCTTGTATAACACTGAAACTGACTTTACCAAATAGATTAGGGCAAAAGCTTCGGAAAGATAGCATGAAAATCCGAGCCGCGCAGCTATTGTCCCCTGTGAACCGATGTGCAATTGGCCTTCCGTTTCTTCGTCACTGGCATTTTTAAAAGGAGGTACCGCCCTCTTTTAGTCATGAGTTGGGATTAACCGGGAAAATCGCAACAACAACAACAACAAAAAATCGCTGAATTGGACTGGTTAGTTGAGTAGAATAAAGACCTTTGTTAAGCCTTTGACCAATAGAAAGAGTACTATGAATATAACAAACAAGGTAAGTCCATTGAGTTAGACCGCCGCTGGGGCTTAGAGCATCTACACTTGGTATGCTGCAGTTAACAGCCGAAAATCGACAGCTAAGTCTGCTGCTTCTGAGACTAATCGACCAAAACCCCAGCGGCAGTCCAACTAAGTCACCCCTTCTTAACATGTATGTTTTGAAGATTTAACTGTATGGTAGGTACTCTCAGTATTGAGTACAACAAGAGCACTAGCCAGTCCCAACAACAGCGATCGAAATCGTTCTGTTGTTGTTGTTGTCGCGATTTTCTCGAGTAATTTCGCGCGTTTAAAGCATTTCATGACTAAAACCCGGGGGGTACCTCCTTAACTGGTAGCTACTGGTTGTAAAGAGTTAAAAATCAGTTTATCATACGGAGTATTTTTACATGTACCGTATGGATACTAGTACCTGGGATCAATCAGTATCTACGTATCGAGCAGGTAGTATCTATCTATAAGCCAGTGACCAGTGACCTAAGCCGGTGGCCAAAGACCAAAGCAAGTGATCCTACCGGTACACCGGTACATGTAACGGTACCACCGTAGGCCGTACCGGTATGCGCCAAACTTTACTACTTTACTATAGACCTAATAGCTCCAAAATTAAATAAAGTATTCTTAATTAATGTATACTCGTTCTCGAGTAGCAATATTCCAGTTGAACTATCCTTTAAATCCTACGACTGTACCGAACAGCTATTCCTCAAGCAAGAGTTCTCGGTATACCGGTACATTTAGAAGCCATAGAAGTTGTAAAGACATCCAACAGACAAAACAGTAAATGCTTCAGAGAGACAAAATCGACGGCTCAAGAAAATGGAGGACGGAAGGGGAAGACTACGAAGCGTGCTGTCCAGGTGTACAGAAGAGGAGAGGCTTACGAGGATGTTTCATTGAGGAAGGGTGTGTTATGAAAATGCTAAAGTTACGTCAACCAGGCCACCCAACACAATGTCAGATAACCGTATCAATTTGCTGTATGTGGTGCTTTGGTTTGTTAGCGACGTTGGGAGGGTCAGTTTGCGTTGGGTTGTGTGGGCGCTCTTCGTCGCTGTCGCAAATAGCTCTTCGATTAGTTGATGAAGGATCCCTGTCAATGTCTTGCTTGAAAGGGGAGAAGTTTGCATCTGTTTCACTGATAGCGTCTTGGGAATGTGTTGACACTCTTCTTTTTCGTGGAATTGGCGTGGTAGTAATTGTAGACCAGACTAGTCACACTCCCATCGTCCGTCTGCCTCGTGCAAAGCACGCCAAATCGAGTAAAAAAGGCTAGTACTGTTAATTTGCATAGTCCGCCGGACCTCATCTGATGCACTCACATTTCAGGTTTTGGACCAGGAAATGGCTCGTGCACTCGAATTATCTTCGAGTTTTCAATGGTACCCTTGATGGATGCTAGCGGCAGAGCAGCAACAAGAGAGCCACCACCCCATGCCAACAGACCAAGTGGGTGATATCATCACCAGAACCAAACCCCAGCCTAACCCACGTTGTCGCTTGCCTCCCAACATAGTCACGGACACATCCTTGCATTGGGTTTAGCTGAGGTTGCCACTTGCCCCGTCGGTGTGGACTTTTAGCAGTAGAATTGGTACCATGGTGGACCCCGATTTGGTTGCATTCCTCCAGGTGGCCTCAAGAAGGAAGAACCTGCATGGGAAATGGGTTCCAGCACTGTACTGGGCTTTCCTCATTGCCAAGGAACAAAAGAAAACAGAGCCAATGGCACCATCAGACTTCAAGACAATGATAAACAAGAGCAGTCTGCTAGAGAGAAAACTTACCCCCAATGACGGTGCCACCGCCGACATATTTCAGATCCACACCAACGGCACAAGGACAAAGTCACGGCGGGTATCTCTTGGTGACACACTCAATGGAACCAAATCCAGGTTCTTCGTTGCAGTGGAGACCAAAGAGAAAGTACCCATGAACATAGATGAATTAAAAAAAGCCCAGAAGAAGAAGAACTTCCAGGAATGGTACGAGCATTACTCGAACTATGTACCTGTCAAGTGCCAACAAGAAGAGGAGAGTGAGGAGGTGCAACAACAGGCACAACAACAGCCCAATGCACTCACCGTAACAACCACAACTGTTGCAGAGACAGCAGCTCAACAACAACAACAGCCTCCGACTGTGACTCCAACCAACTCTGATACGGATGGAGACGAGCAACCGAGAACAGCACCGAGCGTGGAGACGGAAGAACCGGAACCGGAATCCATCTTGAGAGATCCATTAAACAGCGACCTCCTTGCCATCTTTGACGGCCTTGTCAACCCAGAGTTCCTCAATAGCCCTGACTTCTTTGTTGAGAAGGAAGATGACGATGATACATGTAGTATCCCCGACACACTGAGAGACCGGATCCGGCGGCTGGGTATCGAACTGCAGAAAGAAAAGCATCGCAAGCAGTATGAGATGTTAGAAAAAGAAAACCCGCTAGCAGAAGTGGACTGCAGCAAGCACAAACCTGCTCTTGATAAGTTCTGTCTCCCACCAAACAAGAGAGCTATCCAGAGCGTTGTCCAGATAGCATTGAGGATCGAAAACGACACAGATGGGAAGGCTGGCCTGTTTCAGCTTCCGAAGTATGGTGGGGGAGAAGGCAAAGGATATGGCCGTCAACTTGTTGCAATCATTCCTTCCAACAACCTCAAGACATTCTTGCACAATGGAAAGCAGTGGTACCCTCGACTCCTTGAAGCGTCCAGAGGAGAAGAAATGACTGATGATGATGCCGGCTTTGCCATGACCAAGCTTGCTCGATACCATCACGAGCAATCATTCCACGACGTCTGCCGAACTATGGTGGAATTCAAGCAGAAGAAAATGTGCCCATGGCGTCAGATATTAATGATGCACAAGGCCAACCTCACATATGAAACATTCAGAACACTGAGGCCATACCTCAATGCGGACAACTGTAATCCATTTCACTCAGAGAGAGCCATTCGCAAGATTGAAGTAACACCGGACATCTCCCCAATCTTTGCGGAATTCGATGAGGGCGGGGTAAAGAAACATGCTTGGTGCCTTCCTTGCACTGAATTGGTCGCTCAAGAGATAGAGAAGAGAGAGTCGCTCAAAGAAGAAGCGATCCATGCCATTGTATCAGCAGACCACGGGCAAGGCGCCATGAGAGTGAACCTTGGTCTCCGGTTCATCAAAGATAACAAGGTTGTCGACGAAGTTGATCACTTGGTAGCCAACGTTGACTGCAAAAAGGACAACCGTGAAGTCATGCTGGCCAGCCAAGTCATCTCCATTATCAATGATTCAGTCAAGACAATGGTTGCAGCACTTGGCATCATGCACGTGATGATATGCGCACAAGGCGATCTGAAGTGGTGCTCGGACGCTCTTGGCAAAACCAACATGTCAATCCACCACTGCCATCGGTGCCGACAAAGGCATACTGACTTTCAAAAGGGAGGTAAGAGCCATCCACTGGAAATCATTAACCCGTGGACTCTTGACAAGCTGAAGGAACACCGAGAGAAACTGGAGAGACGAGAGTTGGAGCGAACCGCAGATGAAGCCAGAGGCGTGGTCGATGCCCCGCTGCTGGAGATAGAGCCAGGGAACTTCATTTATCCCCCACTCCATGGCTGTGTCTTGTTTGCGAACACTGTCTTCAGCCACTTCCAACTCTATCTCAACCACCGAATCCAATCAATCCCTCTTGAGCTGCTGCTGGCTCGAGCCAAGAAGACAGCAATAGAGCGACTGGTCGAAGAAAAGAAGCAGACGGCATTTGATCTGGAGGAGCAACTCAATGGAATGGAAGCAGACCTTGTGTACCTTCGTAGTGGTGGAGCCTTTGAAGACGACGATGATGACCACAGGCAGCAATTCCTTCTTCTGGAAGGAGCTGCGCCAGAGACCAGGAAGAATCTGGAGGCAGCACAGAAGCAACATGAAGACGCCAAATCAAAATTGAGAGTCGTGAGCAGCAAGCATACCAAAATGAAAAACCAGAAGGAGTACGGCAAGCAAACTCAAGACTTGTGGCTTACCGTTGAGAAGATGCTCAAGGCCAAGTACAACGTGAAGGCTTCCGCCTACAATATGGAAGGCAACGAGTGTCGTAGGCTGATGCGGCACGCTGTTGAGATAATGGCAGATGTCAAGACAATTGCCATGGACTACTTGAGTGAGCTTCCTGAAGAGGAGAGAGTCAAGAGAGCCAATGAAGAGGAGATTGATCTCTTTCTTCGAGCGTTTGCAAGACTCCTTCAGTACATGGATCTCATGTCGCACTATGCCTACCAACCGTATGGCAGCTTGACCGACGAAGATCTTGATGATGCTGAGAGGATCGTTGGGGATGCTGTTGACCTTTGGATGGAGCTGATGCCGACTGTGCCAATGAAAGTCCATGCATGGGCCCATTTGCTTGAAGACTTGCGCCGTTTCCGAGGACTCAAGAGCCACACAGAGGAACCAATGGAGAGGGCCCATCAAGATGGCAAAAAGGACGACGTGCGCCTGAAATCAGTAAAGGATTTCGTGAAGAAAACCAACAACATTCAGAGGCGAAGAATGACTGCCAACGATGAGAGGGTAAAGGCCGCAGAAGCTGACATGGAGAAGAGGAGGCCTAAGAGGAAGAAGGGTGAAGAGGAAGAGCGAAAGAGTCAGATGAAAGAAATGGAGCGGAGGCAGCACCTTGAATCAATCCTGGCTCTTTCACCGCTCCGAGTCAACCTACCATCACTGTTGGATCTTGCCAAGAAAGATATGACGCCAGAGGAAGCTAGAAGGTTGCAAGCCGCGGTTGAAGAGGACATGAAAAGAGAGCAACATGAGGCTGAGGAAGCGGCAATGCGGCAACTGGAAGCAGCACAGAAAGCAGTCGGCAAGGCAACCGGCAACAAGGCAACCGGCAACAAGGCAACCAAACCAAAGAAGAAGACAACAGCCAAGCGCAAGGCACCAAAACCCAAGGACCCAACCAAAACAAAGACCAAGCCCAAACAGAGCGCAGCAAACAGCGAGTAGACGTCCGTACCTGGTGTCCACGTCCATGGGTGATGGTTCGGCGCGCTGTGCTCTTCTTTGAAGTTATTGTGGTCTGGAGTAGGAAAGAGTGCCATTGTGGTGGAGAAAGGAGCGGCGCTGGATGGAGGAAGATCATCATGGTGGTGTCGAAGTTTTGGTGGTGTCGAAGTTTTGGTGGTGGAGAGGTGTAGTCGATACGAATGGAGAGGTATCGGTATGTTGGCGTTTCGCCTCTCTTCGATTTTTTGGATCGATCTGTCGGTTGGAGTTGTCACTTCGTTGGAACATCTTAGACTTAAAGGACCATTATTAGAAGACTTATAAAACCGGTACTCAAAGATTCATTCGGATCCCTCCATTCGGAATACGTCATCCGAATCCAAAGCACAAGAGCCAACAGGTTGTGGCATAGATAAGAGAAAGAGAGAGTCACTCGCGCATGCTATAACATGTAATGCTCCTAGTTTGCAGGTCAAAGACAAGGGAATGATATATTGATTGCTTTGGTTGCTTAAAGGCAGTCAATCGATCTTGACAAGAGCTCTCTTTTCGGCCTTGAGTAGCAGCAAACCAATCGGAGATTGCACTCTTTCAGTCGGAGAATCCACTTGTGCACATCTTGCTCCCATACTCTACGGCTTAAAGACTTGGGAATGATACATTGATTGCCACGGTCGATTGGTAGAACCCCCCTGGATGGGTAACGACTCGGAATTAGAAGATCAGGATCTGTTGCCCTATCTGCACCCGTCACAGAATTATGACATCCCTGCCATCCCCGAAAAAATAGCATGCGCGGGGACTCCAACTGTTGGACTGGGACAGGGGAGGAAGCGCCATGTGGGCATCATAACCTGCTAAAATAAGACGGTTGATTGTTGTGTGTGCAGACTCCCTAATTCTGAAAGCGTTACAGTTCCTCCCACGACTCAGAGTATCCGTGAGTAGATTGAGTCATGTTTTATGAGTCAACAAGATGGAACAGAGAACGCTGGCAAGAACACGTTCTCAACGAAACCAAAAAGGACACGGTAAATTGGAGTATTCGACAGGAGTAAAGCATCCTGCCAACGAACCGTTTCCCGCAAATACCACGTTGACTTCCGTATCAACTACCACGATGTATTGATCCAACACGCTACGACTAGCGTTACTGATCGCATCAATCAAAGTTCACAACACAGATTATGAATTACTAAGAAGCGAACTTTGCATTTACCTTGCACTCGTCTTGAATAGTTGCAGTTGATCTCGTCGGGTGGTAGCTACCTCTACAGGATCCCTCTATTCAAGTAGTATTTCCTCACGTTAGCAATTCCATGTTAGTCTAACACATTCCTGAGGATTCATCGATACTTTGGCTCTTGAGAACGCCTAAAGTATGGCGCCACAGACGGGTATCGATATTTGGATCTCTTGAGTAAGGGCTGAGCTCAACGCACGAGATCAAGCCTCTCCTATCGATGTCCTCTTTCATTCTTCATTCGTTGGTTCGCAATTTCGACAATCTGCACCCAAACAGCGGTAGCTCTGCACTTTCCTCTCCAAGCTCTCTTCGCTTTACCATGAACAACAACTCCCCACTTCGCGTCTTCGACCTTTCGAGTCTACCTCTTTATCCCATCGATTCCACCATGGCCGACTCCAAACCTTCCGCCCAGCCGTCTGCCACCAAGACCGACACCACCAGGGCCGACCCCTCTTCCACCCAGCCGTCTGCCACCAAAACCCGACACCACCATGGCCGATCCCTCTTCCACTGCGACGGGATACAGCTTACAATTCAGCTTTACAGCTTTACAATTAGCAGGCTTATTCTAGAAAATAATCAATAACTGCTCACTTATTTGGAAATACAAACTTTACATCTCTTAGATCGTTAGATTAGACAATCCACAATGGTATTGTCGCATGGTAGCATGCGAGGTTATGAGATGTTACTCATTCTTATTCTTATATGTCTATCTCTTATGGTTGTCAATGGAATGTGCTACTCATTGATGCAGATTGCTCCCGATGAGTTTCCTCTTGCATTCTTCATTGGTAGTCCTTCCCCTTATTGCAACTCAATCTGTCGACTGGATCCACTATACCACGATCCCCTTGTCGATACCTTGGATTCGCTCGTAAGCAATCCCCTTGATTCGCTCACAAGCAATCTCCCATTTCATCCTGTTGACGATCGTAATCTCAATGAGGATCCTATTATCTATGTCACAGTAGCCACTGCTGGTACTGCACGTTGGCTGACTGCACGTTCGACTGCAACTGTTACTACTACTGTTATCTCTATCACCGGTAGAGCCTTGCCTCATCTCCGTCTCCGTCGCATCGATCGATCGATCCAAGTTAACAGATTGATCCAAGTTAACAGAATTCATCGAAAAATGAGCTCCATCTGCGATGAGGCTCGGCCTGTGTGTCATGCATTGAGTCATGCTTCGGGAGCCATTTCACCCTCTATTATGGATTCGAATCACCGGAGCTTAAGTCTTTTATTGAGTCATGCTTCAGTTCCTCACTTTTTCATTAACTCGACGGAGAAGTACACTGATGTTCAAAACACGGAACGACGATCCATCGCTCTGCCGATCGATAACAACAAGCTCAAGCTGCCGATCGATAACGACAAGCTCAGTCTACCTAGGACTGGCATTGGTCGTTTTGCCTGGCTTGCAGATAACTGGCTTGCAGTTGGTCGTTTGAACTGTCGCTTGAAGGAGGATTCGCTCGCTCTACAACAACACGAGCGATCGGCTTTGAATTCAAACTCATTGGTGGATCCTTCGAAGCTCCCTTCTAAAGCTCATAAATTCCAGCTTCGATTGACTCGATTGACTGGTCCATCAAGCTCCTCCTCTTGTTGCCGCTCCTTCTACTGTTGCCTCTGTTGCCATTGCCGCCATTGCCTTTGCCTCTTGTTGATTTTCACTGATGGACCTTGACGACGCTTCCTCTGCCCTCAGGCATCTTCATCTTCACACAACAGCCGCACCAGCACCAGCACCAGCATCCTTGTTCAGTCCACAAGGCTTCAGACAAGCCTTCTTTGAATCTGATCCAATCATACCACCATCTGATCCTCCAACCATGACTGCAGCACCATTGACCGCAGTTCCATTCCAGGAGCCCCTCCAACACATTGGGAAAACAAAGGAAAAGACCAAGCTTACCCCAGAAAGCCGCCTCCCGCTCTCGGAATTGTTATAAAACCAACTGGAGCTGGGATCAGAAATCCGGCTTCTAAGATGGGACTTGGAAGGACTCAGACTAATGCTCTAAGGTAGGGTTCAGAAGTATCATGGATAGAGGACGCGAGTTCCGCGCAGAGGTCGAAAAGACACTCCGGGATGAATATGGACTTCGTCGCAAGTTCATCACTACGCGTAACCCTCAAGCCAACTCTATGGTCGAGCGTGCTCATCAAACCATACGTAACTTGATCGCTGTTCAAAACATCAAGTGCCAAGACGACCTCGTGAATGGATCCTGGGATGGAGTCCTCACGGCGGTTCGCTTTGCAATGAATGCCACGATTCATACCACCTTGCGCGCAACGCCCGCACAGCTCGTGTTCAATCGTGACGCGATTCACAACGTCCGGTTCGAAGCCAACTGGAAGTACATTAAGGAACGTCGCCAACGACTAATCCAACAAAACAACGACAGGGAAAACGCGACGCGTGTCCCTCATCAATACAATGTCAACGATACCGTGATGATTCAACAGTATCAGCACCGCAAGTACGGTCAGCCAAAGTACAAAGGTCCTTACACTATAGACCGAGTCAATGACAATGGCACTGTACGGCTCCAACATGCTACCGCCAACGGCGGCACAGTCTACCAGACTTGGAACATAAGGTATATACACCCATACAAGGCCTGATCCCCTTGTAGGATTGCCATCGTGCGACGCACATGTCTACATCCAAATCTCATGAGAGTGCCCCGCACTTTAAATCATATGTTCTCCTTGTCCGACTGCTGTCGCGCCTTCTGTGACCCTTGTCAGGGGGCGAATGCAATACACGGCTCTTAGCCTTATTCGCGACTCGATCCTAGATAGGGTTTGAGTTCGACTCATGACTGAGTCTCTCGTGAATAGTCATTTGAGACAGGGTTCTCAATGACCGCGCTAGTCATACTAGGTTGATGATGAAACATCGCTCTAGATATTTAGCCAGCGTGGAGTACTTCCACGCTACTAGATTCAGGCTAGACAAACCTTCCACGCGTTCCGTTTTAGGATCGTGGAGAGATGTAGGATTACTACCACAACCAACTCTATCACACTTTATAGTCTCCCGCGGGAAGCCAGATCTACGATCCCTTGATGATGATCTCTCTCGTTGATTAGTTTTCATAGCTTTCTAATCTCTCTCATAACTTTCATTCTCTCAAACTCAAAACACTCGAAAGATCTTTACACTAGCTTTTAGCGTAGTGCAGGATGATGGCAAATGAGTAGCAACGGATCGCAGAGTGCGAACACCAGAAACTGATGCTCACCTATTCATCGCATTGCCCACGCTAGATCCACCAGGAACATCAGTCCGGGATCGTTTCTCGGCTTGCAATTCCGAGACTTGGGACTGGGTATCTGTCAACTGTGTCTGCAGCTCGGCAATTTTCCGCTTGTCACCATCGCGGGCGTCCCTAGCCTGTTGCTGCTGCGCCGATGTGAGCTGAGCCCACTCATCGGGATGGTAATATCTTCCTGGGTTATTGGGGTCAAAACCCCGGCCTTCATGGCCGCGACCACGACCTCGTCCCCTGCCTCGACCTCTTCCAAAGCCTCGGCCTTGGGACCTTCCACCGCCACGCCCACGGCCTCTTCCACCACCACCTCGACCACGGCCAGACACAAATGAAATATTTCTTATGGGTCGAGTGGGTTCAGCGACATCAAGTTGCTCGGCTAGATAATTCATAGCCTCCTGGAAACTCTCGCGGAGATGCGGAGTTGCCTAAATGATGGACTTGGCGGTCTTGAGGGTTGGGTCTGTAATGCCGGACAGAAGCTTGCGAATCTTGCGGCTCTCAGTAAAGGTTTCGCCAGCTGTTTCCAGATCGGTGAAGGCCTTGGTAAGCCTTTCACAATAGCGCTCAAAAGTGAAGTTGCGGGACTTCCCGTCAAAGAAAGTAGTTTCAATGGTTCTGTCGGCGAATGCCTTGGTATGAGCCTGGAACGAATCACCAAGATAATGAACCTTCATGGCCAAGTAAGCTGCTTGACCATTCTGTTGCGCTGAGCAACGTTGGACCCTTGTCCAACCAGGTCCACCGTGAGTAACCGACCGAATGATGGCCCAAACAGCCTGATTGTCTTGTTGGAAATGAAGTCCGGTATGTCTTGTTCTTCGGACCAACTCTTCAGGATGCGATGGAAGGCCAAAACCTGGGTCAGCCTCATCTGCAGTTGCGGTATCAGCGGCTCCTGGCAAAGTGACTTGGGATCTCGTAACATAAGCCAGAGGGGCACCGCAAATGCCTCGTGCACTCGCTTGACGTTGAGCACGTTGTCAATGGACTCCAAAACTCGTCGGACATCCTCGACTTTCAATAGTTGGGGAGGGTTCGCAACATCAATCTCTTCTCGTTCGGACTCGTATAAGGCCCAAACTCTGTTTAATCTCGCCAAACTGGCTTGGTTGGGAATGAACTCACGCTGGATTCGTGTCATATGAAACTTGTAGAACCGTAGTTGTCTGAGTCGCTTCTCAAAGACAAATCCCAGCTGTCGTCCTCGATTGGGAACTTCTCTGGGCTGAACTGCTGCGGCAGCTGCATCATCGGCTGCGGCCGCAATGGCTGGATTCGGAATGGTACCACCTGGTTTCCTCAAATTCTCGCAGATGCTCTTGATATCGGCATCGGTAAAGGTATCAAGTGAGACGAAGGCATCCAATCCTTGATCATTCAATGCTGTCCTCGTGGCTAGTTTGGTAATACCGATGGTATTCTGTAGATAATTGTTCATGGCTGCAAGATTGCCTGCCATATTCGCCTCCAATTACTTCTTCTCTTGCGGTATCACTTGGATGAGCAACAGTTGTGGGTCTTCTTCTCTGCTTCTATTCCAACAGCAAAACTGTACACACCCAGACAAGTAAAGCTGTATTCCAGGGAATGAGCTCTACACACCTAGTCTGTGGCAGTCTAGGCCAAAACTCTTGGATTAGGCGTCCCTTCTCCTTGGCTCAACCGGTTTCTTTGGTGACAATGAGGCAGGAATTGATCCAGACTGGAGGAATCAATATTCCAAGTCCAAACCTCTGCTTCCCACTTGGAAGTCTCTTTCTCTCGATCACACGCGATGCTCGATTTCTCGCTGCACCACGACGAAGGACTCTACCAAGACGAAGGACTCTATCTAAACGAACTAGCCCGGTACAGCACAAGCTTGCAACCATAATTCTCTAAGAGGACAAGAAGATCGCTCTACTACAACACCATAATACTGCATCTAGCTTCGTCTCGTTCCTTCGTACTCGTTGAAATGGACGTCGAATAGCGATGGCTCGAGATCCATGCACAATACGAGTAGTTTTCGCATGCAACGTCGGCCTAAGGTGCCAATTCGGGTTTTGGGATATTAGTAGAATCGCAACAACGAAGGGACAAAACAAGCACGGGACAATGGGAGCGCCTAGAGCGAGCCGAATCGCGATAATAGAGCTCTCACATTTTGCCTGGTCGTTCCTCAGGATAGACCAAACCGGTCTTATTGGGTCTGTACAGTACGGAATCTTTGGGCTCTTGTTCTTCTCCAATATCACCATAGCCACCAACCGAACAGTACCAGCACACCACAGGGCGACCGTAAATGGATTTGGCACATTGGATGGTAGCGCCACCAAGGCAGTGGCTCCTTTCCTTGCTGGTTGCATTTTTGCCTTTTCAGTCGCCAGTTTCATTCCACCTGTGGTTGGGGCTGTGCCGCCCTTTGCAGTGTTTGGGGCCTTTGGGCTGGTCTTGATAGCTTACATCATTCTACTCTTGCTAGCTACTAGCTAGCTAGTAGTACTGCTAGTACCGGTATCGGCACTGGTACCGTACTAGTGTTCCTGGAGTGCACCCTGTATGGCTGCATGGAGCAGTGAGGTCGACAAGAGCGTCTGATACATGCACTCTTTCGAACTCTTAGAGCATTTTCTACCGCTCGTTTAGATATCTATGAACATTTTTCGTTTTGATATTCAGAGGATAAACTGTCACAACTGAAAAAGCAGTCTCTATCAGTTTTGTCTATTTTTCGTTTCAATTGACTCACTGGACTCAATCTGTATGTGTTCTCATGGACGATTTCGTTTCAATTGACTCACTGGACTCAATCCGTAGGACGATTTTTATTAAATCTTCACTGGTTAAAATGGGGTCATGACAAAATCAAAACAGAGAGCAATTTTTCGTTTTGATTGGCTTGATCTAAACAAAAATTTCGTTTTCGTTTAAATTTGGTCCAAACGAAATCTAAACAGCATTTCTACAACAGTGATAGAAACAAGATATGATCAAATTTGGTTTAGATTGTGTTCAAATGACCCAATCTAAACAAAATCTGATGGTACGGTAGAAGATGCTCTTACAGTAGTCTACATGTACTAGTACTTTGGAGACTCTCAAGCTCTCAAGCACACGTATCACAGCCGGCACCAGAAATGGTGGGAGCTAGCAGCTGTGGGAGCACCGTTCCTCATGGCACCGGTACCGGTACCGTAAAAGTATGGTACCACAGTTAGTTGATGAAAAGATTTATGGGAGGGACAGATCGATATCCAGCGGTACCGCTATTAATACTGGTACGACTGTACCAGTACGGGACGGTGCCATCCCAACAACTAGGAAACATGGAAATCAAGAGTGAATCAGAGTTAGGGTCCAGGCTGAAAATCAGAACTAATATGAAAGCTCTAACCCTCTCTATGCAGGCTAAGCGCTTCTGCCGTCATTTGTAGGACGCACAGAAGACCACACAAAGGAGAGATCAAGGGTTGAAGCTGGAATTAGGAAATTGACTAGTGTATGTATTTCAGTATCAATCGTGGCAAACGTATGCAGAATCACTAACATGTTCATATGTTTTCTACTTAACAATGAAAGAAACCGTCTTTCTTTTTTTTTTCGCAAGATTGTTTAGTATGATTTGTGATAGTTCTAATCGGCCATTGGGTGGGGGAACATGAATTCTGCAAGAAGATGGGATTTAAAGCATACTTTGCTGTACTCTTGATCTCCTTCGGGGAGTTTCGTAATGGTTCCTCTTTTAATTCCCTACCGGTATAAATGACCTTTGGTCCCAACTACTCTGGAGTATTCAGTGGGCCAAAGGCCACGAAACAGCGAAACAGCGGTACGGCTTACCAGTATAAGTATGCATAACTATGCATACACTTTGATTTTTGACACGAACGCGTGCCCGTCTTCTCTGGTAAGATTGCTGCGTGAGATATTCCGTAAGCTTGTTGGATTGCGAGAGTCTCGACACTCGACAGGCTAGCTAGCTAGTAGTCCACCGTTGCTGTTCGCAAACTGATGATGAAGCTTGATGAATTAGCCACTTGAGCTTACTGGAAGCAACAGCTTCCGAAATGGCGGTGATCGAATCCTTTGAGATCTTGCGATTTCCAATGTGGACGGTACACGGTACAGTGTGAGTGCGTGGCCCCAGCAAGTGCTGCAGTACCGCCACCATTGCGTTAAAGCCCTGGCTACTGAGCCAACTGAATTAAACGGTGTTGCTTCTGGCACCTTTGGCCTTGAGACAGAAGAATTAAGAGTGCTCTCCCTGGAGGAAGGTGGAATGAAGACCGTGGCCCACCGTCCTTATGTATCTGCTACGGAGACCGTAGGTATCCAGTATAATTGAGTAATTGAGTACTAAAGTAAGTAATCGGCAACAGCAACGCGTACGAGATACCACGATAACACCGTACAGATCGAGTTGCGTTCTCTTCAATTCAGCACTTCTTCACTCTTCGCTGCAAGCATTGCTACCGGTATCTGGAGACTCCCGTAGTTCCTATTACATGTATAAGAGCTGCGTAAGAGGCTCGATTCGATTCAACACCAATCCCTCTATCTTGCCAAACTTGCCAAAAGGAGAAGTATAGGTCGACTTGCCTCACCAAAATGAACCCAAGCTCCAACACTATTGAATAGCAGCAAAAGGCACCGTCAATACCGCTACCACTACAATAGATTGAACTTGCTACCTACTACCTACTACTGCGTTGTTGGGTAGCATCCCTTGTTCCCACCACCATTATCCTTGAGTTAGACCAACGATTGTCAAGATAACGAACGCATCAGCAGCAACAAAAGCAAGATGTACTACCTGTACAAGAAGAAACCCGGCGATGACCGCAGCGATAGCCTGTCGACCAACGCGGCTCCAGTGACTCTGCAGTCCAACTCGAACCTGGGAGGCCATTATCCCTCTTCCAGGAGTCGCAACAGCAACCACCCCCACCAGCGACCACATCCCATCGCCGAAGAAGGGAATAGCTCTGGTAGCTTTGACGTCCCGGAAGGTCCCTTGGATTCCTCGGCTCAGCAACCCTTCAGCGGTCGAAGGCGTCGACCGGGAGCCGAAGTGGAAGATTCCGAGAGCAAACAGAAAGATGAACAGATCGTCAGGCGGATGCTGAGACGAAGAGGTCTCGAGGAACACGACTTTGCAGCAGAAGTCATGCAACCGAGAAGACCCTCTAGAATCAGTTGTCAAAGGTGTCAGCATGACATTGCCTACAATCATCATCGAATTAGCTGCAGCAGTGACCAAGATAAGCACGTGTTCTGCAGATCATGTGTGGTACTCTACGTAGACGCTTGGGTCAAAGGGGAAGCAGAGTATGAGCTTCGACATGGAGGTCGCCATCAGTACGCTTTACCCTGTATGTCACCTGCTTGTCAAGTGGGATGTCTTTCGGAGGCTGCCATGCAACCCATGTTGACCCATCCCATCTTTACCAGTTGTCGTCAGAAACTCGTCAGAGCCAGGGCAGAACGCTCACAGAGAGGAGGATCCGCTCAACCGAGAAGGATCCAAACCGATATGGAGCAGGATGGACAACCCTCATCGCAGAGACAGCCACACCAGCAGCAGTTGTATTCTGGCCTATCCCAACAACCCATTCACGGGGAGGCCCCCGCAGCAGATGACGACTTTCCTACCCAACGGTTGCTACGGAGACAGCCACCGGATTACGCGCAGTACCAAATGCAGTATCAGCAACAGCAGACACGTGCCGCTCCTCCACCACAACCCTCGCAAAAGCAGTTGCAGGAACAGGAGGACTTGCGTCAGAAGGAGGAAATCAAACGACAACAGCAACGTATGCTTCATGCCATGTACCACCAACAAGGATCGTCGGCGTCACAAGCAGGTTCAGCCGCGCCCTTGCCTCCCACCATCCTAAGGCGGACATCCACGTCCAGTACCGCCACATCCAGGAGGACGGGGACGGGACAACGGGTGAGGTTCTCACTAAAGTCGACCGATCAAATCGCTCTACCCGACGACGACTCGTCTGGGTCGTCGGCGTCATCATTGACCACAAGGTTCCCCACTTCTGTTACATCGGAAGCTCGAGAAACTGAGAAGGAAGAAAGCCAACGACGGCATCAGCGTCGTCAACTGGCACAGCATCCTCCACAACAAGAACAGCAAATGCAGGCAGCGCGACCAAAGCCTGCAAATTTTAATACCGCTCTGACTACCTGTATGTGCTGTTACGAAGAGTTCTCCCCCAAGGTTAGCCCTGTCATTCGCTGTGATCCTCGTCGACCCAACGAGGCGTCGCACCACTTTTGTGGAAAGTGTGTTCGAATGTACGTGGAAGAGTGGATCTTTGGGGCCGCCACTTACACGCCGCGCCCGGGACGACCCGATGAACAAGGTCAGACAGACCTGATCTTGCCCTGCTTGCATGGCGACTGTAACGAAGGCGGCTTTCGAGACGATCAAGTGTCCCAGTCACTCACCTCAAGGTCCATGGAACAATATCTTTCCAAGATTACGCCCATGAGAATTCAAAAGCAAGACGACGAAGAACGGCTCATGGAAATGGCCATTCGGTTGTCGTTGGAACAAGACGCTATTCAGAGGCGTGTCTCGCAGCTGCATCAAGAACAGAGGAGTGTCACGAAGGAACAAGGACATAACATGAACGTACTGATGGCGCCAGCACCACCACCGACGAGAGGGAGAATCAACCCACCTTCTATGCTGAACATCCCTCAGACGACCCTGTCGAACACTTCGTCTCTGACGTCGTTCAACACGGCGTTCCCTCAGAGTTCGAGGTCTCTCCCTGACTTGCCAAGAGGAACAATGAACATGAGCAAGTTGACAGGCAAGGGCGATGTTGGCAGATTGGTAGTACCTGCAGCCAAGAAGCCTTCAGCGGCGGTGAACGATCATGAATCAATTATTGAACAGAGCGTTCATTCTGTGGAAGAAGCCATGACTCAAGCCAAGGTTCGCACTTGCCCCAACTGCAACACCAAGTTCTTGAAGGACGAAGACTTTTGTAACAAGCTCAAGTGCCCATCCTGCAAGACCGCCATCTGCTACATCTGTCGTCAGGTAATCCCCACCCAGGGCTACGAGCACTTTTGTATTCACAAGCAAGGGGGATGCGCGGCTTGCCTGGGTATGCACTGTCCGTTGTGGACGCAAGTAGACGATGACAATCGTCGGGATATGGCTGAGATGAGAACAAGAGGGTTGGATGAAGCCAATCGTATATGGGAGGAGTCTCTGCTATCAGAATACAGCAAAGGGACAGAGATTCGAGTGGACGTAGACCAACTGCTGCAGCAACCGCCAAATCCAAACAATCGATAGGTTGAACTGCACCATAAAACATAGATATTGTTCTACTACCATTCACAGGATGAAGTTGTTTTTATCAAATGCAGCAAAAAGTGAGAGTGATATTATGATTTTTGTTGGGGGTACTGGTAGGTAGATGCAGGCACAAGATGTGAAATCAAGAAGCGTTCGCTTCTGGGGCTGCAACCTTAGGCTGCGCTAGCTACGCTGTAGAATCCCATATTACAAAGCAGATTTAAGGATCCTACTTCCATGTATCAGAACGCTTCTTGACCTGCAACCTCAGGCCGTGCTAGAATCACGAAATCACAAAAAGCTGACTTGAGATCACACTTCCATGTACCAACTGCTATCTGAGAAGATGGTCGTGTCATCAGGTTCCAGCAGCAGAGTGACAGTCTGTTTCCACATCGACGGTAGTTTGTACGGCGGAGGAACGCATCCCGTGTTCTGGATTCTCACTCGGCTTCCCACCGATGCTGGTCATACGGCGTGCGTCAACCAATCCAATGGCACGATGATGCAGGCATTGCTGTACTTCGCGTCGCTAAAGTCATGGGTGCCTTCCAATGCGCCATTCAGGTCGTTGCATACACGTAGTACCAATCATGCCCCCATAGTCTCTTTCTTCTTCGATTCAGACAGTAGCTCTGGACATTCACAATGCTTTTCGAGTAGGTTGTCAAGTATTTGGTGAAACGAATTGCTTCCATGCTCGGGCCACAGAATCTCTGCAAATTGCGGGGGGCACCATATTGTGATTGGTCCTTGTCCTTCCAATGCATTCGATGGAATATGGATACCAGCGGCGTGGAGGAATGTTCTTGAGCTCTCATCGTCGCCACCATCACCGTAGATTGGGTCTCCCAGCAATGGCAAGCCGACACTCTTGGCCGCGACACGAAGCTGATGGGTCTTGCCGGTATGAGGCTGGAATAGAATGCAAGTGCGTGGTCGGATCCCATCGATGCTTCCATTCCTTGCAGTCAGATGTTCATCGAGGCCGCCCAAGCCAGCTGTGAAGAAACGCGTCACTGCAAAGTCGCTGCTAGCGACGGTCCCACTACCAGTAGTAGTTTCCTTTTGAAGGTACCAGGATTTTCGTCTTCCCCGAACCATTTCCCCTCGAACCCAGCCTTGCTTCTTTTTCTTGGGTTTCTTGCTTGAGATCCCAACGTACAATTTGGTGACATGATTGTCTCGAAATGCACCACTCAAGATTCCAGCCATTTCCGCATCCTTGGCCAACAGCAAGATGCCGGTTGTGACTCGGTCCAATCTATGGACTCCATAGAGACGGGGATTCTCGTCGCTGCTATTGTTGTAAAACTGTCGAAGACGGGTGATAATGCCTAACTCTCCTGTCTCGGGATTGTTGTGATGTGCAACATCCGTCGGCTTGTTGATGGCAAGGACGCGCTCTGATTCAAAGAGAACCTGAGGAACAAGTAGGCTATTGATGCATCTGGAAGAAAGGAGGACAACAATCTTAAGAAGGGTCCCTCTATGGGAGCTTGTTCTGCGGAATGCCATGGGTATGCTGCTACGAATCTAATTTGTATGTAGACACGTGACGATGGGTATGTTTGTGTTGTGTTGGAGGTTGGAGGCATACTAGTATCGGCGGATCGGCGGTATCATCGCGAGGATCGACCCATAACAAATAAAAATGATAAAATTTAGGACTTCTATCAGTTCACTTGGCCCCCGTAATGGTCCTCACTTTCTTGCCCCTGATCCCACAGAACCTAGTCCTGAATTTCGTTTGTTCTTTGCTTTTAAAAGCCTGGCCCCGGCTGGCTTCCGTAGATAATTTCCCTACTCTAAACCCCCCTTTACCTAGCTAGTTTAGTACCGCGGTACCTTAAGCGTCGTGGCGTCGCTCTTTTACCACTTTTATAACCTGCTGTCTTCCTCATCCAGCCCACTCCAGGAGCAAATTCTGGTCCGGTCCATTTTCAGGCCCCACTCCCGGGCCAACAGCGGGCCCAACACCTGGACAACGCAACTCCAGCAAAACAACTGGAGTCACCCTACCGTACGGTGTATGTTTCATGTGGTCTGACTCGTAATTTTAAAACTAAAAGCATAATCACAGGCCACTATAGCACTTCATGTAGCTACTTCCTACTAGCTAGTATCTGCTTTGCTGTCTTTTTTGTCGTTGGTGCTTTCATTTTGATCAACATTGCTTGTACTGGTACTACTGGGAGAATCTTCTTCCTCGAAACTAAGATTCAATTTGTTTAGCAATGAATCGGCGGCTCCCTCTTGGCTGGAAGACAAAGTGGTGGCTTGTCCTTCGTCGGAAATGTCCCCAATATCCGTGCACTTGTACTCGAGATAATTGGTGAAGAATCCGGTTCCACATAGCTGCTCGTTTCGTGGCTTCAAGGCCGCAACTGGTTTTGGTGGGATCGCAGCAAAAGAAGAGGCTGTCACAACGACGCTGAAAAGCTGCCGCATAAGGTGTCGTCTTGCTATGTTTGATGCGGCAGTGACTTCTTGTTCCTCTGCTCTCGATGACGGTGGTTCCAACCCAAACATCCGTATTGGCGCAACATGAAGGCGACCGCTCACGCTTTGATAGGAATAGGGCGGCCGTGGGACGTAAGATTCTACCACCACAGCAGTTGATGCCAATAGCCCCACTGCGAACAAGGCCGAAAAGAGCAGCGACAACTTCATCCTCGAGGCGTTTGAACTAGACATGGCGTCCTTCGGCAACTTTCATGAGCTGCTTGCCAATTGCGGTACTGTATTGTCATGATGGCAAGATCCGAGAGAGTTGAGAAATCTATTCGATTGATGACTCGATAAGATTCCTTTCCGATTCGATTCAGTCGAATCAATCGATATGGTCCACCAACGGCTTTAATATTTATTATTATTATTATTGACAGCCAGATCCATCAATCGCCGCAACGCCTTGAAGAGTAGGTGGTGTTCACTACGGTATCGTTAGACGCTCGGTATCTCGGTATTAGACTTGTTTCTTTATTCTAAAGAGCAAGAAGGGTTTGTTGAACTTACGGTATCATAGTAGTTGTGCTGAGTATTGGATCGCTGCATCAAAAATTGCACGAGTTGACTGGAGCCGAGACAAGGCCATCGATTGAATCATTCGCCTCAATTACACAATGGGCAATTCTTCTTCCAACACCGCTCAGACTCAAGAGCAAAAGGATATTAAGTACTTGGGCGATCGCATGCCCTTTGGAGATGCAGAACTGAAGAGATTGTATCGGTGTTACTACCAAATTGAACAAGCTTCCGAACGAATTTCCTTTTTGACGGATTGGGCTGTTCATGCCGATCCACAGGCAACCGATGCAGTACGGGAGGAACGAGCCCTGTTGATTGGTGTCTTGGAAGCCAAGGTGCTGCCGGAAGGATTTGGAAATCGACTCTATCAGACGGCCTTTTTGCGAAGAGGTGAGGTGTCCGTGTACAATGACAACAACAGTCCAAAGAGCAATGCTGCACCTGTCGATGAATACACTCGTGTGGCAAATTTGGAACAATTCTTCGATGGACTCTCCAACTGTGGTCGTAGAGGCACCAAGCATGCTGTCAAGGTACTCTTTCACTGCTGCGACCAAAATGCAACCATAACAACGCCTGATGAACCCATGATTCAAGCCAATGACTTGATACAGTTGGGATACAGGATTGCTCTTTCTTCCGCTTTTTTGAAATCCTCCAACCAAGAGGAAGAAGACGAGCAAGACAATGACATGGCACGATTCTTGCCCGCCGAAGACAAACTTAGCCAACAAGAACTACACTCTTTTGCACAATCCATTGTAGACCATTCCAATGTCAGACGGTCACGCATGGGGATTCCCCCCTTGCCAACAACACAAGAGGAACTCTGGGTGTCGATCGACGACGTCACTTCTTGGGTCAATGATGAAGCACCACTGTTTGCAAACACGCTGTCCACCTTTATGTATCGAGTATTTAATCCTGGACAACCCTACCCACCATCGCGAACTGAGTTTGTATATCCCGTCATTCCACAAGAATCTGCATTTTTTGAAGCTGGATCCTCCACTCTCTTGTTTGTGTTTGCGTGTTTGTCCACTGCGTTGAGTGGTCATGTGAGTGCAGACATTGAGTGGAGTTTTTTGTTTTGTTTTGGATCACTGCAGCCTCATTTTTCGTTTTCTCTTATTTCGTGCTCAACCAACAATCATCACCAGTTCCACCGATTGTACACATCCTTATCAGACGGCCTGAGCTTTAATCGACTGCAAAATTCCTTACTGGGATACGGTGGACCAACATTGTTGATTCTTCGATCCGCCGATGGGGACTTGTTTGGGGCATTCACAGCGTCAAGTTGGAGAGAATCCAAAGACTTTTATGGCAATTCCGATTGCTTTCTCTATCAATTGTTGCCTCGTGTGGCCGTTTATCGACCCAGTGGAAATGGCCAAAACTTCATGTATTGCAATAGTTTTGCAAGGAGTCGAGGATACGACAAACAAGCTCATGGAATTGGGTTTGGTGGTACAGTGACAGAGCCACGCCTGTTCATTGCCGAAGCATGGGATTCCTGTTCGGCGTCGAGCCGAGACATGACGTTTGAAAATGGACCATTACTAGGACAATCTGCAAGTGGTGGCGCCAATAAACAGTTTGATTTGGAAGCCTTGGAAGTTTGGGGCGTGGGCGGCGAGGAAGTTGTCAATGCAGCACTCGGAGATCGAGTCAAGGCCCGAGCAGTCAAGGATGCTGCCATCCAGAAGGCCAGGAAAGTGGACAAAGCTGCTTTCCTTGATGACTTTCGATCAGGTATCATTGAAAGTAAGGCATTTGCTCACCGCCAGCAAGTTAAAGGGAGGGCCGATGCGGATCTGGAGGATCACGATAGGGAAGAAAGAAAGCGTGGTTTTTAATCTGCCCGCAGTGGAACTTGATCAGCTGGACGTGCGGTATGAGCAATCAACGCAAAAGCTCCTGGATAAGCAATTTTCACTCTTCTGTGCTGGTAACAGTACAAACATTTCATAAGATAGAGTTTGGTCCTTCCACCACGAGTTTTGTTAGTCACTTTAATGTCCTATTTACACTGTATGTGGTAGCTGGAATATTGTCTTGATTGTCCTTGTCTTCCTTTGCTCTTCGTTCGGCGAAGGTTTCCTTGAGTTCCATGGCCTCATCCGCTTCCGCTTTAGTAGAAAAGAGCAAAACAGGAGACGATGTCTTGTCACCTGTTCTCGTCTCGACAACTTCATACCACTCTTGCTTATCATATTCTGATTGACCATCCATGCTGGAAACAAAGTCGCCCAAAGCAGCTTTTCCACCATTGGCACTGCTGCTATTGCTGGGTATTTTGTCTGCTAAACCTATTGTTGGAGTTTCCAAGGAAAAGGGCGTTGGTTTGGATTGTGGTGTAGACTCTTGTTCTTTTTCACTTGTTCCCCCTGATAGTTGCAGATTATTCTCTTGCTCTTGCATAGTGCTGGTATCCTTTGTGTCCTCAGGTGGAGCCTCCTTGGTCTCCATTTCCTTTTGTGCTGCCAACTCTAACTTTTCTTGCTCTTGTTGCCTTTCTTGTTCTTGTTGGATTTTTTCTTGTTCTTGTTGAAATTTTTCTTTCTCTGCCTCGTAAGCTTCCAGAATGCCGGGCAATTGTTCCTCTTTCATTTCTGGTTTAATGCTGTGGTGAAGTATCAAAGAGGCTTCTTTCGGTGTCAGAGACTTGATACCTTCTGCTGTATAACCTAGACTCTCGGTCAGTTCTATTCGCATGGCCGTGGTGATCATAAAAGCAACTTTGGCCACGTTTCCTCCAGCCGAAGAAGGAGGACTTGTGCTGTCAGATGTCGTTGACATAGTCGTGCCACCACCAGATGATGATGATGATGATTGTAGCAATCCTTGTCGTTGTCGCAGATAGTCCGACACGCCATGGTATTGAATGAGACCAATTTGTTGCTGTAAGGACAACAGGGAAGCAGCAACTTGATTGGATTGTCTCGCCTGTGATACAATGACATTCCGAAAGGCATCACTGAAAGATGTGTGGGTGTCTTGACGTCGAAGGATGGGACTGACCGCTTGAGCAAACGCTCGACTGATTGTCACACCATCACGGCCCAAGATCGCCATTCGATTCCATAATTGAGAAGCCATGGCAATGGGTTGCTTTTCGTCGCTGTGGTCAAAGCAAGCACAGTAACAAGTCAAGTGCTGTCCCTCACACCTCCTTTATCATGCTGTCTTATGGTGGTAGCTGATTGCAATGATCGTTGCGTCGTTGCAATTGCGACTGTGGTCTCGAGGGGAGAACGAGATCGAATCTTCAATCTACGGTATTCGAATGAATCAAATGTCCGAAAGTTTCGATCAGTGATTCGATTCGGTTATTGGGTGGTTCTGGTGCATTCGGTTCCTTCCTCCTTCATTTATTGTTGCAACGTCCTTGCACCTGTCTGGTTGAACTGATTGTGTCGCTCACTAGCTAGCTAGCTATTACAATAGCTACTTGCAAGGAGGAACATGGAACCAGAGCAGGAAGAGACGTCGTCTCTACCAGGTCTACTGGCAGCGTTGGCATCGGGTGCTCGGGCGGTTCACAGTTTGCCTCTGGAAGATGATTTTTCGTTCGAAGCGTCCTTTCCAGAATTTGCCAAGTCGCTTACTGAGACTCAGGAGGATTTGTTACAGACGCTGCTGGTATCATTGCAATACACCAGTAGCGCCAAAGAGGGCATTGACAATGACATTTTGGATCCTGATGGATTTCAGGATATTCAAGATCCACTGTTGTGGGATGCTTGTGCCGATGCCTGTGAGGAACTGTTGGATCAAGTCGAAGCATTTCTGCAGAGCAAGAGTACCATTGTAGACGATGACAACGTCGCTTTGGCCACTGGAAACTTGGCCAATCTTGCCGGAAGGGCTCGTCAAAAGGCAAAGTCCAGTTTGGGGCGACTGGTGGAATCGACAGTGGAGATGGAAAAGCCGCAAGTCACCTACAGTCTCGTTGTGACAACACTCAATGATCGCAAGGAACCATTCATTCCCAAAATTCACCCTGAAAAGCCATTCTCCGTGGAGCCTTTGGATATGAGTCTTCAGTCAGGACATGGACTCGATACTCGCCATGGTCCTCTCCGCAAAAATGCACGTGTTCCACCCGATGTCGTGGCTCCGTCACAACATGTCCCACACCTTTACGAAAAGGAAATCACATCCTTTCAGTACACCCCGCAACAGTTGGAAGCGAGAAAACCAGAGGGAGATATTGCAACCCCTCCATCACTGGATGCCACATGGGTTGATACACCACAGGCTCTACAGGAATTGTCCCAAAAACTAGAACATGTCCAAGAGGTTGCCGTCGATTTGGAACATCATTCCTACAGATCCTTTGCAGGTTTGCTCTGTCTCATGCAAATTAGTTTTCGCAACCCCGGAAATAACAACGACACCATGGAGAATTTTCTTGTCGATGTCTTCCCACTGTGGAAAGAAATCAACAATTACCTGGCACCCATGTTTGCCAATCCAGCTATTGTCAAAGTCATGCATGGCGCCGATTCGGATATTCAATGGCTTCAGCGCGATTTTGGAATTTACGTCGTCAACCTATTTGATACCGGACGAGCGGCGAGGGCCTTGGGACTCCCCTCGGCTGGATTGGCCTTTTGCCTCCAGAAATATGCCAATGTGCAGGCCGACAAGACGCATCAACTGAGTGATTGGAGACAACGACCCATTCCAGATGCAATGCGGCAATACGCCATTATGGATACGCATTATCTGCTTGACATTTACGATCGCATCAAGTGGGATGTGCAGCAAAGCAAGAACACTTCCATCGAAGAAGTCTTGAACACCAGCCGCAAGGTCTGTCTCGTTCGCTATACCAAGGATCCATTTTATCCAAGTGGATACAAGTCGTTGACCAAGCAGCGATCGGGAGGGAGACAGCAAACCGTTCTGAATGCTCAGCAGGAACAGGTACTGGAAAAACTTTGGGATTGGAGAGACCAAACAGGGCGAAATACGGATGAATCCCCTACGTTTATTGGCTCCAATGCAGTGTTAATGCGGATTGCATTGTCTTGTCCCACTACGGTCACCGCCTTGCAGGCCTTATTGAATCCGATTCCCCCTCTCATCCTGCATTACGCAACTGCTGTTACGCAGATTGTCCGAAAGGTTCGGACCAACATGGCGATTGATACGAGAATGGAAGGAAACGATCTGCGTGGCAAACAGCAACAACCTGCAGTGGGTGCTCCTTCGTCTGCCTTTTTCAAACCAGCAGAGCTCTCGTCGGACGATCGCATTCGACGCGCTGGGGTTCTAAGTCCGGTTCTGGGAACCGAGGCTCTCTACAAGCAAGCTGGTTGGATTACACCAAGCGGTGCGCGTGAAGAAAATGAGGTTCGTCGCACTCTCATGAGAAGGTTGGTCGAGGAACAAGAGATTGAACCCATGGTGACCACAACAGAGGAAGAAGGAGGAGCAGAATCCGATGCTGTAGATGCTTCTGGAGCTCCAATGATGCCAACGAAACCAAAGAAAGGGCTCTCTGTAAATCGCTCGAACAGAGACTACAAAACACAACAGCAGACGTCTCACAGCCTGGGAATGGGCAAGGATTCTGCCGACGGCAAGAATGCACCAACCGGCAAACCCCGTGCCAGAACAGCGGATGGAATTGGCCCTGCTCGTGCCGCACGAGAGCATTCTCATTCTCCAGTGCCTCCGTTGACAATGGAGGAGGAAGTCAAAAATGCACAACAAACTGCTGCTTTGATTCGAAGTGGCATGTCTCAGAAGAAGGAGATGCTGGGATTGATATCTCCTCCAGATGAGGAAGACTTGGACGCTGAAGACGAAGCGCCGCGAGCTGCATCTGGCCCTGGCGCTGATGATAACTTTGATGAGAGCGAGAGAGATTTGGCCGCCAGTTCAAAGGAAAACGACGAAGAGTTTGTCATTCCCCGCTCCATGACGGAGATTTACAAAATCAGCAACCGCAATCGTCGCAACAAGAAAACCGGATCGCCGACATCGGATCGACAAACTTTTCCAACAACTGACGCGGAAATGGAGCACCTGGCTAAAGCCGAGCAGCTGCTGAAGGAACGTGGTTTGGCGGGAAAGGGTTACTTTGACAGCCCAGGTGGGAGCAAGCGACAAAGAACAAAATCTGCAGGCACAGAACAAGATGATGGTGCTGCCCCTGGAAGTACTGAGAATGCCTCCACCTTATCCCGAGAAGATGACGTTGCCTTTATGCAGGATATTGGTTGGATAAAGAGCAAAGAAGATGCAGATAGGTTGCTGGGTCAAGATGAGAGCGCACCTCACGGTGATTCTGGTCCAACAGCTAACCCTGACGCCCATGCTGCGGACGAAGATCACGCAGACGATGATGCGGTGGGTACTTCGGGTGGCAAAGGCAGCAGAGACTCAAAGACACCCACGTTTGATTATAGCTCAGTTGCAGGCGTTGGTACTATGTCAGGGGCCGCTGTCTCAAACCCATTCTTTACCGGCGCCGCCATTGCCGGTGGTCCCTTGACACATGGAGGTACGAATTCCAAGTCCGATCGTAAGAAGTCTGGTTCAGGTAAAGGGGGCAAACAGGGCCGCAACAGGCAAGAACGGCCTGAGAAACGTGATGGCAAAACGCACGCATACAGAAAGCGATAGATATCAAGAAGAAACAGGAAGGGGGGTTGTCGCTTGTGTGGTGTTTTGCCAGAGTAATCGTTCTAAAAAAATAGATAGTCAACGTGTTCCAAAACGGTGTTCGTACTCTACCGTAGCCTGTCTTCTGTGACCCACTTCTGTCCGTCCCCACAGCATCGCACTAACATGCGACAGCTCGATGAAGTTTGCCCTGTCTGCGTCTCGCGCTGCCCTTTCAAATCTGTTATTTCTCTGCCCAGCTGACGTTAAATGGGTCCACCAAAGTAAATGGGTCCACAAAAAACATAGCTTGCTAGTGATTCTGGGGTGCCAGACTGCTGGAGCATGCTTGGTATCATGCTTGGTGCATGGTACCGGTATCATCAATAGTACTACATTCATTATTCACATTTTATGATTTGCTACCTAGAACTGTTCAAAGGTAGCGTACCTTACATGTCGTAAGGATAGTAATAAGAGTACCGGTAAGATGATCCAATGCAGGGTTCATAATAACAACACAGAATGCGATTGCAAGACAATAATTCAGGGGCATTCAGTCAATACGGTTGCACTGTCTGGAAGGGTAACTTGGGAAGAGTTTCGGACCACATACGACGCATTCCATGCTCATGAGCCCAGTCTTCTGGGATGACGACTTGCTCAGTGGGTGCTCTTTGTTGTTTCTTCTTTGGCAACTTGGTGCTTGGTATTCTTCGCTCGGGCTGCTGTTTTTGGACTTGTTGCCACTCTTCCTCGGGACTTCGCATATTGCCAGTCGAATGCGAACGGTATGATAGTTTCGAGGAGGAGGAAGAAATAGTTGGCATCATGGGTGCTGTCTTGATCTTGTCGTGTGGCTGTTGACGCGTGTGTTTCTGTTGATTGTGAATGGGCGTCGTGCAAGAGGTTGAACCAGTCAAGACTGTCGTGGCGGTAGCATCGGAACCAGGCGACAGAGGTGGCTCTTCGTTCAAGTGAAAGCGCATATTGTATTGCCTGTTCTTTTGAGGAGTTGTTTGTTGCCGTGTGTCTGTTAAAGTACCCAAATCACAAGATGGAATATCGGACAACCAGTGAATCTTGCCCTCGGCTTCGTCCCAACCGACAGAGCCAGAATCATCGCGACGCTGTTGGTGGGGATTCTTGGGACGATGGCGACGATGGCTACTGTTGGTATTGTCGTTATCTCTGTAAGCAATCGAGTTGTCATCCATAACAACATCATTGGCAGAGTATCCGGGGGCACAGCACGCCTTGTCTAGCAATCCATCGAACCATCGACCGATTCTTGCTGTGCTGCTTGCATTGGAACGCCTAGATGTGTGAGATTGATTGGAGCTTGGAACTTGCATCATGTTATCGTAGCTTTGTTTGCCGTCTTTAGCTAATTTGGCTTCTTCCGTCAGATTGTGAGTGATGCTTCCCTTTTGGTTCAGCGGTTGCTTGCCATCCAACAGATCCAACTAGAATGCAGTGGGACCGAGCTTCGTGTTGGATGCTGGTTTCAATGGGTTTCATTGTTTCGTTCCGAGTCGGAGCCAATCTGACCAAAAACGGTTATGAGTACACGAGTAAACATATGCCCTTTGCAATAAGATATATTTTCTCTTACGTGTAAGTCTTCCTACTGCACCTGATACCAATCCAAATATGTATCTTATTATCAAGGTTAAGATACACGAATGTTGGCATGAATGAAACGTCAGCTTGACGAAAACAGCCCATGGTGGGAATGAAGGGCTTGCCGATCTTGGCCGAAGCTGGGTGGAAGCATAAAACTGGAACATGGCGGCACCGCGGACCAAACCATCCAATGCTCCAAGAGCCACATGATGCCGCCAACAAATGGCAGGTTCCAGTATCAGAGCATTCTATGATGCATTCAGTCAAGGAGTATGGCACCAGCACATTGCTTGCTACTCCAACTATTTCTGACACCAGCCACTTACTTGGTAAGGGCATTCTCTAGTTGTACTCGTCCTAAAAACTCGTCCTAAGCTACTCGTCCTAAACTTAGGACGAGTTTGTAGGACGAACTGGCAATCTCTAAAAAAGTCGTTCTAAAACCAGACTTAAAATAGGACGAGTTTTAGGACCGACGAGTTTCAATCTCTAAAAAGCTGGTTTTAAATCTCGTCCTACCTGCACCTCTCCTCTATTGGCCTATTAAAGTGGTCCTGATAGTGTGGCTAGGAGCTTCCCACGGTACCGGTACCTGTTGAAGTTTGTTATCTTGGTACCAATAGAGGTGCAAGAGTATCTTGGTACGGTACATGTACCCATAGAGGCGACTCGGAGTTACCAAAGAGGTGCGAGTTGAATCGTGTTAACTCAGTCGTGATGTCAAAAAGGAGACTCAAGGATTTAAGGGAATAGTTAGGACGATTCTTTAGAACGAGTTTTATTTTTCGTCGCAATTTCGAAAAATAGGACGTGAATTTATTTTTCGTCCTAAAAATTCGTTCTAAAAATAGGACGAATTTGAGTTAGAGATTGCTTTTGTCCTAAAATTCGTTCTAAATCGTTATTTTAGAACGAAAATTAGGACGAACGAAAAGTTAGAGAATGCCCTAACAGCCTGCAGTTCGATTGCGAAACCATCTCTAGAGATCATTGCCTCAATCTAGCTTGCGGATTTTCTATACGGTATGGATTATATTGCCCCAGGTTCTTCTCATCCCCCTCCCCCTTCATCCCATCCAACCACATCACCGCCGCAGACTCAATCTCACTTGTCCGCCAAGTTACGCACTCAACCCACCCGAACTTGCCCCACCTAGTCGTTGTCGTCTAGGCGAAGCATTGCTAAAGCTGCGGCTTCCAGAACGACTGCTGCCTTTTTGCCGCCGTCTCCATAGCTTGGGCCTAATGTATACCAAAAAGTTGAAAAAGCCTTGCAGCGGTAGAAACACGTTGACGGCAATAAACCATTGAAAGCTCAAACTGCGCCCTCCAATTCGAATCAAGCACCGGACAATGGTTGGAACCGTCCACGTCAGCAAAAGGGCTAGAATGAAGCAGATTCCTTGGATTCCCACATCCCTGCTCAAGGGGCTTGTATTGCTGCGCCGCATACTACTTGTAGATCGTAACAGGCTCGTAGATCGTTTCATACGAGAAAACGATACATCGTTCGGTTGAACTGGCTTGTCGTCTTCGTTGGACGCTTCTTCTGTTCCAGGACACTGCAGCACTTTTGAAGAATTCGTGTTTGTTGCTCCAGTGCCTTCGTCAGCTTTTTTACCCCTCTCCAATTCCACATTCGGAGTCGGCGGAAGTTTTGTGGAAGTGCCTTTGGTGCCATCTGGAGCTGTTGGGGCAGTCACATCTGTGAATATTGGGAGTGTCGGCTTCAGAGATGTTGCTTTTTCCATGTCACCTGAAGGCACCGGAACAATTCTCGTCGCAGTTGGGTGTTGTGTTGCAGCTTGCGCCCCAATCAAAGCGAGCTGGAGATTTTGTTCCTCCACCATGTCCACATCTGGGATCGATAGGAGAACCTGTGATGAACTGGCACAAGTGTTGCCATTTTGCTTAGCATCCTCATCTGGAGCATGTTGACTTTTCGTTTCCTCCACATCATGTACCCCTGCAACTGAACCGGTTTTCAATCCCATTTCTTCAGAGGCATTGTCGTTTGCAGGTTGGTGCAACTGCGGCAGTGTTTCTGTTGACTCTTCCAAAGCCAGTGTGGATTGCTCGGACGGTGATGATTGTTGTTGTTGTTGTTGTTGCTCTTGCTCTTGCGGATGAGGGGAAGGCTCACGGAAATGACAGCCTTCCTCACTTGGCATCCGTGCACCAAAGGTCCACCGTCTAGCCTTGATTTCAACCTCTCGCACAGAGCAGTAGATCATTATCATTGCAACGGTACAAAAGGCGATAGTGGCATATTCTGGGATGGTCCGAAAGGGGAATCTCCAGACATTTGCATTTTCACCTCGTATGCAGGGCGTCCTGGATGGACAACCCATCGGGAATGCATTCATGTTGCAGGAAAAGGGAGTTGGATTGTATAGCTCCAAATGAATTGATACGCCCCCCGAGATGAGCACAAACGCCAGAATAAGCACATGGACTATTGGCTCCATTTTGGCAAGTTGTGGCTCTTTGTACCCATACTTGATGGAGAGCAAGTAGGAGAGCGCCAAAGCTCCCGAGTAAAAGACCGTGGCAGTCACAAACTGCCCAAAGAAGCCTTGGGCATTGCAGGTTGCTCGAGATCCATTTCCAAAAGGGGGCGGAAGGGCCTTGCTCCAGATTAGAGGTGTTGAAATGCTCGCCAGAATGTCACAAAAGCTCATTCCAATCAAGAAACGGTCGGATACCTTGGTCTGGGATATCCTTTTCCTGTGAAGAATATCCCAAGCAATGTACAAAGACCCTAAAATCGAGAGAGACCCCGTCACTCTCGGGATAATTGCTACGAGCTCCAGCTGCGTTGCGGTTGGTGGGGTAGGCATGGTGGCTATTTTCTTTTGTTGTTGTTGTGTTGGGTGTTGGGTGTGGGCTGAGCTTGATTGGACCACTTTCTTTGCTTACGAGGGGAGGGCCTGCTCTGAGTGCCTTTGTTGGACACTGGACACAACGAAGAAGAGTACAAGCTCGTAAGAACTGCGTATCATACTTGGTAAAGCGAAGGCTGGTGGTCTCTTTGGAAGTCTGGAATGCTACCGTAAGCATCAGAGTCGAGTCTGACACAGTAAAAGTTTTACTCCTTCAAAGAGAAGAAGGGTCATCCAGCATAAGTAAATCTGAAAAGAGAGTGGCCACTTCGCCACCAGACACCAGACGGTCTCAGCGTCTCAGCCGACTAAAAATGAAGGTCTCGATTTACAAGACCACCAAAGCCTCAAAACTCAAAACAACATGTACAAATTACACAATGTATGAAGATACAGCCGTTCGAGGTGCCGGTAAACTCTGGCCTCTGGCAGTGTTTTGGTAGTATGAAGATGTAGAATTGATTGAATGCCTCTATTACCTCACCGCCCCTTCTTTTTGACTTTCCACGCCCCCCACAAATTTTCAGAAAAGGGGGGGAAGTGCCTGGAGCGAGGAACTACACGACCCCTATCTATTGGCAAGGGTAAGACTGAGTTGGAGAATCTTGAACTTTTGTTCTGAATTCAAATCATGGAACTGGGATGACAGCATCATCGTCTAACGTCTATCAATTGTCTCCCTTGGGGGTTGGGAACTGAGAAAGGGAGACAAAAATTCAATCTGCCAATACCCCACATTGAAAAGCCAAGTACCCGCTAAACTCCTGGATCCACCAGCCTGTCCAGGTGCACAAATTGTGAGCTAATTTAAGATTAAGAAAACGTACTAATAGCACTGGTGCCTATCCTCGTCAGTCGCCACCAGCATGTAGGGGCTCTGCAATAGCTCAGCGAGTCGTGCTTCCAAAGTATGGTCGCACTAATCGAATGTTGATGGGCTCGATGTAGTTCCTTCGCTGAATATGAAGAGTTCCTGATGCTTTGTTGAAACTCACCACCTTGAAAGGG